CAAAGAAAGGAAGAAGAGAGAGAGAGAGAGAGAGAGAGAGAGAGAGAGAGAGAGAGAGAGAGACAGAGAGACACAGAGAGAAATGGAAGGGGAGGAGGGGGGGTAAGAGAAAGAGAGACTGACTTTCTGATTTTTGTGTTTCTAACACAGAATCTCTGGCCCTATTCCAGACCCACTGACTCAAAGTCTGCATGTTAACAGAGTCTGTGGATAGTTTGTGAAGCTCCATTCTGAGACATGGTTGGTGGCTGGGTGTCAGTGCAGAACTCTGTCTCTGAGGCTTTCTGGTGTAACAGTGATGAGCATTCATAGCTTTCCATGTTCTATCTTCTTGATTCTACCTTGCCGGTGATGTGAGTCAGTTGACATCTGGCTAGATAAAAAGCAGCAACTCCAAATAAACAACGGTTTATAAAAACAAGCAAGTGGTAGGCCTGTAATCTCAGCTATTTAAGAGGCTGAGGAAGGAGGATCATGAGTTCAAGGCCTGCCTAAGCTGCAGAACAAGTTCATAACCAGCCTGGGAAAATAGTGAGACCTGTCCCAAAATAAAAAGGAAGAAATAAAAAGCTGGAGTTAGAACTGAGTGGTACAGCTAGATGTGGTGGAACACACCCTGAATCCCAGCACTTGGGAGGCAAAGACAAATGGATCTCTGGGAGTTTGAGGCTAGCCTAGTTTACATTGCAAGTTCTAGGACAGCCAGGGCTACCTAGAAAGTCTCTGTCTTAAAAAAAAAAAATCTCAATTAAGGAGCATTTGGGAACATGCATGAAGCACTAGTTCAGTCCCCAGTACTGAAAGAAAAGAAACAAAAGCTTAATGCCAGTCAGACAGAATGACTAAGTCTAAAGACCATAGTGACTATTGTTAACAATGAAGTATAATTATGTATCAAATAATAGTATTTGGTTGAGAAAGGACCATGCATAGGACAGTGGTTCCATAAGGTTCTATTACCCAATGATGTCATAGACACCTTTATTTGTATGCATATTCATTACAGTGTTCACATGACTATGAAATTGCCTGATTTCTTAGATTAAATCCTGTTGTTAAAGGACATGTGACTTTGAAAATTGCTAAGAGACTAGATCTTCAATGTTCTTACCCCCCAACAAAAGAATGTTAAGGATGTAAGGTAGTGGATGTGCTAATTAGCTTAATTTAACCATATTGCAACGAATACCTGTATTAAAGCATCACACTTTGTCATATACAATTTTTATTTGCCCATCATAATAATAACAAAGGTGGGGAGGGGCCACAAGAAAAAAATGCAGGGACAGCCTTGATGTTCAAAAGATCCTGGGTGGTTGTGGAAATGGGCTACAAACCAATTCTGAGCTCCTCAGCAAGCAAACAGCAGTGAGGGGATTCAGAGTATCCTACTAAAGAGAGAAACCCTGTCAGAGATGCCCCCCACACCATGATCCTCATGGGTAGCATTGTACAGTATTAACCACTGCAGACAGACAGACAGACACACACACACACACACACACACACACACACACACACACTCACACTCTTACACACACAGACACACACTCGGAGCCTGCAGGCTGAGGCAAATGAAAGACACAGTCCTAACAGCAAGCCTGGTGCAAAGCCTCTAAGCTTTGTTTGATCTGCAGGTCTCATGTTAACTCTCAAAGGAACAGACACCAATCTGCTTAGTTTAGGTGTAGACATCAAAGTAAAAGTATCCTCTTGTAAAAATAAATGAAAGTCAAGAATGTTAGGCAAAAGAAGCCCAACACACAAAATGGGCTGTAAGATTCCTTGAATAAAAAAATACAAAAACAGTGAATCCATGGTGTCAGGCCAGTGGTTATCCTCATGATCAAGAAATTGGGACGGGGGAACAAAATGGAACTTCTGGGGTGTTGGAAATGCTCATTTCTTGATCTGGAGGCTGAATGTGTGTGGTGTTTAGAGAGGCTTCATCAAGCTGTGGTGTGTATACTTTTCTGTATATGTATTATAAGCCAGGGTTTTTTATTATTAGCAGTGGGAGTCAAAACCAAACCATTTTTGGAAGGTGGTCTTTATGAACATCTGAACCCACCTTCTCAGGCTCCTGCATCATTGGCCCCTCCCTGTCCAGAGCTAAGCATTCCTGTCCTGTACCTGTGGTATAAGAAGCCAGTGGTTAGAACCTGGAAGTTGGGTGGTCTAGAAATTCAGCCTAGAAGCATTGGGTCAGGGACTTCAGCCAGCCAGGTTTCCTCATTTGTAGGCATAGGGTTCATCATATCTTCTGGGCCACAATCTGGGGATTAAAGCAATAGCCAGGAAGTATAAAACAGCTGGCATTGCACCTGGCAGGGCTAAGAAGCCCCTGCTAGCCTGGCATCCCATTCCTTGGGAGCTGAAAGCAGGGTGATCTCAAAGTCTAGGCCAGACTGCTGTGTTAGCAAAACCCTAGGGGAAGTGGTTGTGGGGAGGAGCCAGGTGCAGTGGCTTGTGCCTGTAATCCCAGCACTCAGGAGACTGAGACATGGGGATTTCTGTGAGTTTGAGGCTAGCTGGAGCTACATAGTAAGTTGCAGGCCAGGCAGAGCGTCACAGCAAGACTCAGTCTTAGAAAACCAGAGAAAGGGACATAGAAAGAAATCACTGTTGTTGTAGTTGTTTGGGGGGGGGGTGGTTCAAGGCAGGGTTTCTCTGTGGCTTTGGAAGCTGTCCTGGAACTAGTTCTTGTAGACCAGGGTGGTCTCGAACTCACAGAGATCCACCTGCTTCTGCCTCCTGAGTGCTGGGATTAAAGGCGAGTGCCGCCTGGTGAAACCACTGTTGTTTAATGAGCCACATCTATGTGGTACTTTAGTTACAACATAGCTTGAAGGTGCGGCCTAGAGTGGGACAGTTTGGTTCCATAAAGATGCCATCCAACTCCCTGCTTCTCTGAGGGGATTTCAGTGTGGCAGAAACATGAAAAAAAAAAAAAAAAAAAAAAGGCCCAGGGCAGGCCCCAACCCCCCTTTGGGGGAACAGGGCAAAAAAAACACAAAA